ATTTGATATGATTCAAACGCAAACAGATTTTATTTCTAAAAAAATATATAGAAATGCAATAATAAAAGAAACATAGCTACGAAAAGAGCAAAATTAGAGACTTCCATCAAGTAGCTAATTTATAACCCTCTATTTGCAGCAAAGAGTTAGCCAAAAGAGTTGATGCCAATGCACACTCTTATTTAGCATTAATGGCACTCTTTTTTCATCTCAGAAGTAGCGAAGGAATAGAGAGTGTTAGATGCATAGACGAAGTCATGGTACGTTATATAAATGGAGATACCCGCTGGGCTAAATATACAGTTAAAAAGAAGCCCAAATAAAAAAATAATTAGCGTTCACCATTTCTGGTCAGACCTGCTCTACTGGCTGCTGACGAGAAATTTCATCATGGAGCCATTTTAAGAATAAATGGGTACCCATTTGGTTTTCTAATGATAGATTTACTTCCGAAAGGAAAGCAGAATCCGGATCCTCGTATTTCAAGACGATAAACTGAGCAACAATCATTCGGCCACCCTGCCTCCACAAAGTCAATATCTAAATTCATTCGAATTTAAATATTTCAATTTGGTAGATTGTTAGATAGATAATTAATAATCTATAACATCAATTTTCAGTACTTTGTCATAATCATTATCACTGACGAAATTCTAACTAATTACCATGCTTTTTTTGCATAATTTTATCAAACTGCTGAAATAAAAATATCAGTAAATAAAGTTTTATCAATTAAAAAAAGCATATTAATCAGCGCTTAATTGCAATAACAATGATATATTCGGACCAAAATGGCCAAATTGCAATAGCTAACCCGTTTAATCCGCATGTTGCTGCAAGTTTATCCATCTTGTTTTCATGATTCTCCACAAATTTTAACATTGAAAAATAAATCAGTAAAAATAAATGTTATATAATTAAGAAATTTATATTTTATAGCCGAAAAATTCGCATTGAATAATCATGAGCAATGTTATCAATTTCATAAAAAATTATATATTTCATCAGAAATTTGTAAAACATTAAGATAAAAATTGCAAGAAAATAGAAGAAAATTATTGTAAATAATTAAGAAAAATGGATAATTTTCCAAAATTCATTAAATATAAAATTAATGAAATTAACGAATTTTTTTTTTCAAATTCGATGCCAAATTTAATTTGTTAAATAATAAATCATTTCGATGAACTGAAGAGGCAAATTTCATTTTATTTATTTCATTTCATTTCATTTTATTGGGGAAAATTTTAAAAATTTAATAATTTTTTAAATTTTTAAGTTTTCAGTTAAAAAATTAAATTTTGAAATTTTTCATAAAATGATTCAAAAAATTTTATTCGAATTCTAATTCTTTTTAATTTTAATTTAATTTAATTTTAAGTTCCATAAATTTAAATTTCTTATGATATTATCGGTATGAAAATAACTGGTGCAGAATAGATATTAATTCTTATTAATTATGATCTTCTAATAGCACTCACACTTCTGGCTTGCTCTGCTGTCTATTAAAATGAGAATCCTTCGCCAGAGAATACATCTGGCTCCCACAATCAGATTTTCCTTTTAAATGGCATGAGAAGAATTTAGCTAAGAACTTAGTTAGCCATATCAAGGAAGAAGGCCATGATGCTCGATCGCAATCGGAATGACATGCCACTTTCTTATTCACTCCTACCCTCTCATTCGCATCTTTCATAAATTGTACTGTTGCAATTCTATAAATGAATTCGCTGAAAACCTTTTAAAAAAAAAATTAATAAAAATTAAAAAATTGAAAAATATGGAATGAGAAGTTCCAGGAAAGTTCCGTCATATTTACTTGATTATGTCTACTTCCAATAATGGAAGTGTTCCTGCTTCTTGCGGGAGTAAACCTGTACTAAAAAATTCGCACTGTGCCCACTTCTACTTTTAGCAAGTGACAAAAATTTCTCATTACATTAACAGTCAATGTGCGAGCATTAGCAGAAATGATAACTGAGCACTTATTTATTTCTTCAAGAAATCGAATTAATGAATTAAAAACGCTAAATTAAACCAAAAATTAATTAAGTAAATGCGTTTTACAATAAATTGACAAATCATATCAAATCAAGTCGTATGAAACTTCAAAGATTATTCAAAGTCCGAGAATTAAGCTTTAACAAATTTACACGATTAATTTACACGTTTGCTCATTTGCTCGGTGTGGCAAATTTCCTCTCTTTTTAAATGATTTTCTAATTTTCCTCATATGAACGATCGAAATCAAAATACAAACAAATTGTCGCTCGAATCCCTGTTCTCTTCGTTCTTCCCGTCTTTTTATTGCCACTTTAAACTTTCTTTTGCTATTATTTGACTGTTTGGTTATTTTTAGTAAGCGTCCCAACGTTAACTTAGCTTGCATCATGGAATATGTGGTGTTTTGTTTTATTCGGTTCGTTTATATGGTTTTTATGTTTAATAAAGGTTTAATGTGTACAAGTTTGAGGGTAATAAAATGCATTCGTAGTCACGTATTATTTGCGTAAGCAGAAGGATAATAAATTTGAGAAAAAAATTCGCCAGTGAAACTATCAAATCTGATACGATTATTCGGCCAAATTAGGGCACTTTACAATAAATACTGTTCGCTGGTATTCTATTTTTGAACATTTTTCTTGATTTTCGCATATGTTTTCAAAATTACATTGATTTGCCGCCATGAAACCTGATTCAATCATCTAAAAACATAAATCGCAATAAAATGAGATATAATAGTTGATCGAAGCATTAAATTAATATAACATTTGGAGAAATATTTATTTTAAGTTTTATATTTCGTAACTATGCGAGCGAATTTTTCGGTATATTTTTATATATTCGATATACTAATTATAAAAAGAAATAATTGTATCGTAATGAATTCTTTTCAATTTTTCAGTATAACTCGAATAATTTAAAAAAATAAACAATTTTTAGATTGTTAGAAAACTTAGCAAACATTTGTTAGCAAACATTTAATCTATTCGATTCAAAATAGCTTTTTTTGATATTACGGATTTCTTAATTTTTATCTTATGTGTATAGGTCGAAATCCACCAAATTAACAAAAGCCAGGAATATAACAATGCTGAATATGACAATACTGGCAGAATTATGTGGTTGTACTATAGATCAAGTTGTCTCCCCCTAACCACTTCTTGTAAAATTATCTCATCCGATCTAAGTAACTAGCATAACAATTTGCTTTAATTTTCGAAGTATTTTTGCATATTTATGGATGGCTGTTATAGTCGGCTATACAAGAAAATTGCGCACAACCTACAATGTCTACACTACTTCGACGTGTAAAATTGTCAATTGTAATACGACAAAAAAAGAATTCCGAAAAACTTAAAATGGTCGTTATTACCGATAATTATAGACAAAGCGATTGTTAACAATATGACTTTTATTAGCAAAAATTTTGCGGTAAACCTATGAAAGTCTACGAATGATAAGAAAATTGATGTATACTCAGTTCAAAATCATGAAATGTGCAATTTGACGACGAAAAAAATTTTATTTAATCAATTTTAGCGAAAGATCATTCATCTTTCTTTCAAATAAAAATTCTATTCTATATACTCAATTCTATGGAGGCAAAACAACCGAGTGGTTATTGTCGTCTCGAATACGAAGATTATGCTGCCTGTGGTAGTAATAAATTAAAACCAGGTTAATTTAATAAATCCAGGTATTATCGGCAACTTGTACATTCTTTCTTTCATTCTTTCAAGGTGCCTTTAGCAGAATTTTTCATTGTACTAGTAAGCAATTTGAATTAGAAATGTTAAAAAGTGCAAAATTCGTATAAAACCAATTTCTAATTCAGTTAATATTTATGATTTAAGATTAATTACTAGCCAACACTCAATATTTTTAATCAGTTCCGCTTCATAGGCTACTAGGATAAGGCACTTTGCGATAGAAACATGGTTGAGTTGTCAGCAGTTATGAAGCACTTATTTGATCTAAGATTGTCTATATTGAATCCATACTTCTTTTATTGAATTAATAATATTTATTTTAGTTTAAAAATATTTCTCCGACGAATTAATAATTGATGTAAAATCATAAATGAAAATGGATCATATGTTCATTGGCAAATGTTTTTTAGTCCAAAGTAATTTATTAAAAGCATATTTCCTCCTAAATTTTTAAAATACTTTTCGTTATTTGCGATACTTTATTTATTTTATCGTCATATTTTTTCTACAGTATTTCTTTTCCTTTTTATATTTTGCTGTGGGCAATATTCATCTGTGAATGAAAATATTTTAATAAATCCAGCTTTTCTCGCTATATTTGTAAGCTAACGTATCGTAAAAGAAAAAAAAATAGAGGAATTTATTCTTCAGAAAGTTTTGCATATTTAACACAAATCTCAATCTCTTAAAAGATAAGTAGGTACATCATCCCCATTACCTAGAAAAATTTTGATGATTTTTCGTACGAGCTCCATTTTCGATAGTACGGTTATTCCCCTTGTCTGGCGATTCTCCGTCGTCCACCGCAGGAGTTGACGCATATTTCGTTAAACCATGTGATAGATGGCATCAAAAGCAAAGTGGGCCAATCAAAACCTGGACTGATACGATTAGAAAAGAGATTTTAAACATATAGGTGGACCAGCAATATATGGACTTAGACGATGGAAAAAGAAATATTCTTTTTCTTATTCTTATTCTTCTATTAATGTCTTCGATGACATCAGACCGCACCGCTTGGAAGCGTCTTACCCTTGTGGCCGTTGGAGCCAGTCTAACCAGTAATGATGAGAGCTGTTAGAAGAATAAGACATATTATATAGAACGGCATTATAATTAGTGGTTAAATGCGAGCAATCGACATGGAATTGGACAACAACAATATTTTGGTTCGAATCGCAACCAAAGCCTCTAGCTTTCTGGTGGTGTTCTTAGGCCAGACTCCCTTAATGCTTACATCCCTTACTAGTATGCCCATACTAGAGTCATGCCAGCTTAACAAGATCCATGTCAGAGGGTGGGGAACCAGGATTATCTGATGACAAGTTAACTGCTGGAACTGGTGCCGTGGAAATAGAGCAGTTTGGCGCTAAAAGGGTTACCAATTTTACATAGATGAGACGAAAAAACGTGGAACTGATGGGATGCTACTATAATATTAGGCCTAATGAAACCGCATTAATTACGAAACATTTAGTGTTTCAATATTTCAATAAAAAGAAAACTGCTCCTGCCATCAAGAGATATACCGGACATACAGGCTAGCTACAGGTACATTGGTATCCCACAGTCATATGATAACCACGTCCACGTTGAAGAGACGAGGAAGACATCTAGACATAAGTATCACTAAAGGACAAGACAAATCTTAAAGAGCTAGTTCAATGGGAAGAGCAAAATCCATGCCATAAATATGTATGCCCTGCCAGTCATCTGGCACATTAAAGTGGACAAAGAAAACATGGAGGCTGCTGATGTGTTTAACACAACGAAATTTCTCACAATGCATAAAAATTTCCACCCCAAGTCCAGTACCCAAAGGTTATATCAGCCGGAAAGAATGCGGATTGGGCTTGGTGAGAGTGAAACGACTATCTTGAGCGAAACTTGAAGCATTCAGAAATGTATTAGCAAGATGGCACCAATGGATAAACTTCTGAGAGGTCTGAAGCATATATAAAAATTGGAAAACGATCAAGCAGAGGAAATACCAACCATGGAAAAATAAAGTCCTCCATGGATTGCACAGATAGCTGAAGTGGCTAAAACTGTGAAATCCTACCAGTAGTTGGAGAAAGTCGGAATAAAAGGCAACACTGATGCAATCATTAATTATTGCAGCACATGAGCAAGCATTAAGCACCAGATCCATCGAAACAAGGATTTACCATACTAGAGAGGAGATTAAATTCTAGATGCAGATGCAGATTAAATTCAGAAATAGTCCAATACATAGTGGCAAGATGTAAATGCAGGGGGACAACATATACTGAAAGGCATAACCAAGTAGCTGGCATCATTTTCAAGAATATTTACTCAATAAAATATTTACATGGCTTAGACCCAACACTAAATGGGAGTTTCCTCAAAAAACTGTAGAGAGTAAGGTGGAAATCCTATGGGGTTTCTCCATCCAGACAAATAAATACTGGCCAATTAACCACACATCCTTGTAATAGACGACACTGTGAAATCAGCACTTGTGACAGATATATAGCAATACCAAGCAATAGGAAAATCAGAATGAAAGAATATAAAAACAATACCAAGAGCTGAAAGAGGAACCAGAGAAGAGATGGAAAGAAAATGCCAAAGTAATTCCAGCGATAATTGAAGCACTCGGAACTGTGGCCCCAAGTTAACAAAGTGGCTTCAGCAGTTTCTCCAAACAGCATCAAATATCTTCATCCATAATAGCGCACTATTAGAAATAGCCAAGGCATGCTCAGAACCCTCAATCCCGTCGGTCTCTGGCCCGAGCTTGAGGATGACCACGACCATCCACAGGGGATGGGAAAAAAATATTTTTTAGTTTTTGAAAACTAAAATTGAATTTTTTAACAAAAATGAATGAATAACGCAAAGTAAATGTAAATCTGGCAGACAGATGTGTTAATTCAATTGGTATAATTCAATTTTAGATTCATTCAAGTAACGACAATTATGTTGCAACGCTTTTTCATATTGCTAACATTCACAAGCGTTTCAGCTTCACCACATTTAGAAAGGTTTGTCTTTGCTTAGAACTTTCACTATTTCTGGTTTGGTTGGATTTATCGACTATTAAGAGAAAAATCCTTCGCCACAGAATCGCTTGTAGATAATCGCTTATAAAACTACGACTGAGTGCTTATTTTAAGCGTTTTATTGCATTTTCTTCAGTAATTTTCGAATAATTGTCTTGCATGCTTATTCATTTATTTATGAATTGCCGATAAAATATTTTAGTAGCTCGATTCGATCGGTTGCTTCAAATCAAGTTGACTTTAGTCTGAGTTTGTTGCGTGATATCAGCGATAACAATGATTCTATTGTTATCAGCCCATTTATGATAACAAAGATACTTCTTATGATTTCTTCTGGTGCCGAGGAATCAATTAAGGATCGATTTAATGAAATATTGAATAAAAGTTCATATATGTATATACATTTTTTTTTTAGAATCCTCATAATTATTAGTTAAACTTGCTCCGCTGGCTTGTCGCACTGGAAAAATGCCAGAGAATCTCTTGGCAATAAAGGTGAGTCGCCAGCATTACCCGGATTTTTAGACATTCATTCTTGCGGGGAATAGAACCTGAGGTTCGGCATCGGCGCTCCAAATTGAGCCCTCTGAGCCATTCTATCCCATATATATATATATATATATGTACATACTTATTATTTATTTATTGTTTATTTATTTTGCTCTGAAACCACTGTCCACCCTTTGTAGATTAATGAAATTTATAAGAATTTTTATTTTTCTTTTTTTTATAATTTTTTATTTGTATTATTTTTTAGAGTTTGATTTTAACCAGTTGCTGAAATATATTTTGGATTTTCATGATGAAATAGAAAATGCATCAAATGCCTTCTTTCGTTCATCTAATTTAATTATTTATCGGCAAAATCGGCATATTGATCAAATGGATTTATTACCAAAGGAATTCTATTTTGGTGATCCAGTTTCCCATTATTTTGCTAAAGCCTGGATCATCGACAATAATACCACAAATGCAAAATTAAATAAGGTTAATGAGTATTTGTTACTGTTACTGCATTAAGTATTGAAGTTCTTAGAATCACTTGTTTTTGATTATTGTAATGGTAAACAAAACAAAGGCAATGGAACAAAAAGTATAATAAGAATTTTGCGGATATTCTATTAGCCACTGTTTATTGGTGATAGTAATATGCATGGTGACAACCGCCTATGTTTCCATCACCAAGTGACTTTCTGGCAGAAATTTTTCGCTGAAATAGCAACTATTCGAGTAAGCCTAACTAGAAATGGTGCACTAGCAATTACTATAAAAATTTCAGATAATTCGAAGTTGGATAAATAACCAAACGAAATCGAATGCCGAGATCATTATTAATGATCAAATTTTGAAGGCACAGTCGTTATTGTTACTTTTAAACACAGTTTACATTAAAAATAATTGGGCGATCACATTTGATGTCCGAAAAATATTCTTAAAAAATTTTTATAAAAATGCAACAGAAATTCGAAAAGTACTTTTTAATTTTTTGTTTCAAAATTAGCAAGATAATAAAAAATTGAAAAAGTAAAAGAAATTTCAAAGTTTTTTTAGAAAATCTTTGTTTCTTTCCATATGTTGCCATGCAGTTGTATGCTTTCATTATTATTCTTCCTAGAACTTTATGGATGAGGTAATCTTATGGATAACAAATAAAATAATTGTTAGCTAACTGAAGAATGCTAATTAACAATGACTGTTACTTAGATTATCATTTCGAGAATCATGGCTCTTCTCTTAACACTAATATTAAAAAACTTCGAGGTAGAAGGGGCGAAATTATCGCATCATACAAACAAGAAATGGAGAAAACCAGAAATATTGAGCGCTAGCCACTTAATTCTTGGAACAAAGCTTTAATGTAGGATTCTCATTCGCAAGAAATATATAGAATATACATGAGCGCCCGGTTTATATGTTTAGGAAAAAAAAGTGAAAACACCCTATGCTTCGAAAAAAGTCCTGAAAAGGTTTCGCAATATATTTGTTAGTAAACATTGCTGTATAGATACAGAAATAGCAACATTCCACTCGACCATATATAAAATAGAAATCGAAGGAGAAGAGCACTATGATGCCGATTTTCGTTTTTGAATTTTCATGTATTTCGTATTTCGCTTATACTCAAGGTTTCAATGCTTTCGATGTGGGCTTTTGCAAAGTTTCGATATGCAGAAGGCGCCGATTTGCAAATGCTTGAAATACCGTATGAAGAAGATCGCCTATATATGTATATATTTCTACCAAGAGCGAAATTCGGTCTTCATCAGTTGAAGAATGAATTGGATGCTGAAACAATGATGAAACTTATTTCTAAGGGTAAAATAGTCGATTTAGAAGTAAATTATTTTTTCGAAATAAAATTTTCTTTACTCCATGACATTAAAAACTAATCCATCCACTTGTGAATTCCAAAAACCATCGTAATTTACAAAATCCATTTCATTAGAAAATAGTATATGGTAAATATAGTATAAAAGTGGGACTCCCTATCTCTTTCATATAATCTGACCTATATAAAGAGAACTAATCTATGGTATTTGCACTTGCCGGAAGGACTCGAACCCACGAACTGGTACAATATTTCCACCGAACTACCGATGCACCATGCTTTCGTCAATATTGCGAATCGGCGAAAGCAAAAAAATTGCTATGAAATTGCTCCTCGGGAGAAGCCCAAAGGTGCGGAGGCGGACTGGCCCTAAAGCAGCCTTTTTTGCTTTCGTCGCTCCGCAACTCTTGTGATTTTGGGCACAAGCAATGAAGGTATATAAATTTCACGGTGATTGCTAATTGAAAAGTAGACCATTAATTAATTAATTCCAATTTAATTTTTTCCTTCTTTATTAAATATGATTTTTCGCGATTCAAAGAAATAATCTCGTCATTTTCATCTAATCTAAATATGGCATCCAGATTGAGATACCAAGGTTCAAAGTGCATTATATATTGAATTTACGAAAATATTTGACGAAATTCAATATTGGAGATGAACTCCATCTCAAATTCGATTTGCCGAACAATACGACAAAGCCAATCGTAATTTCAGATATAATCGAAACATCATTTATTGAAGTACAATTACTACAGTTACTAATTACTAATACTTTATTGTTTACTCTTATATAATTCTCCTAATTTTTTTCATAATAAAACTAAAAAATGAATTTCAATAAATTTCGTTAAATGCCATTAAAATGTTAAAATATGTTTATGTTTTAACTGCGTTTAAAATTTTTCTTTTTTTTCCTTCGCCGATTTGAAATTCAACTTTAAATTTAAATTTCACGGTGATTGTTAATTGAAAAGTAGACCATTAATTAATTAATTCCAAAAGTTTTGCCGTAAAATGGAGAACATATTCGCTTATTTTATTAGTTTCAGAATCGTAATTTGTTTAGGTATCAGAAAATGGAACAAATATTAGTAAAGAATTAGAAATCTCCACAAATGGACATTCGAAGGTACAACGATTGTGGCAAGGCGGTCATATAAAATTTATTGCCGACCACCCCTTTATATTTGCTATTTTTAAACAAAAAACTCTTCTGATTATCGGCCATTATTCTTAATTTTTGCTGGCATTTAACTGGAACTGAAGAAATAAATTTTAAAAGCACAAAAAACTTATATTTAGAACTTATATTTACCAGAATTATCCAAAATATTTAGTCATTATTAATGAAAAAGAAACGATCTATAAACATAAAATGATTTGCTACGCTATGTTATGTTATGTGTGCACATTTTGCGAGAAAAGAAACTCATTTATGTTTTTCAAAACTTGCAAAATCCTTCTTCGAGACACCTATCAGTCTTTCATTTTTTTCGAACTCGCAACATATTTTCGAACATAGCGTAACCATTTGTCAAATCTTGCTATTGCACCATTTCTATCAATTTTCTAATTTTCTCGAAAAATCCCCTTTATGCTTTTCGCAATCTGCAATCTTTTCGCACTTCTTGGAACTTTGTTACGATCCTTCAAAGCTCTATCGCAGGGTTTCTCAATCTTTTTTCCCTTTGGCTGTACTTGCTCGTGCTTGCCCTCATTTGGAAATTGGAATCTACCAAAGCCATTTTTCTACTTTAAGGGCAAAGCCCATAGTACTCCTATTCTGAGACTATTTCTCTTTTAATACCTGGTATTTCTCTAATTTTTCTTATTTCTTCTTCCTAATATTTCTGTCAGCCCGTATTGTTATATCTATCACTAGTGCTGATTTCTGGTTCTTGTTTATTACCACGATATCTGCTTGACTGGCCAGCACTTGTCTGTTTGGATGAAAAACATTTCACAGAATCTTTATCTTACTATTCTCCAGATTTTACGGGAATCACCCATATGGTATTTGGAGGCTCTAAGCCATATGTTATTCCAGTAGATGATGCCAGCTATTTGGTTATGCCCTTCAGCGCACCTGCATTTTACATCCTATCATTAAGTCCTGTGTTGAATTTTTTCTGGAGCGTTTTTACGTAATCTGCACCTTGAGTCTGTTTTGCGTGGCAGATCCCTTATTTAAAAGGAAAGCTTTAATTTATAACTGTTCAACTTCGTTCTTCATTCTCCCAGCCATTTTAGCTATAGGTTGGGATACTGGTAAGCTGCTTAACGGCACATTTATTTCTCGACCACTTTGAGATACTATAGAATAAAATTTTCTCTAATATTATGCAATTTTCCATTTTTAACAAGTAAGTTTCAATTATGACATTATTAATCCTTTATCATTTTTCGACGCACTTCAAACCTTTGCTTTTTATCATCGCATAATATTTCGAAGTACTCGAATGGCTTTTGTGCATTGTATCAAAATATGCCCTTTTGCTTTGACACAAAGTATCTTACATTATAAAGCCTACATTATAAATCCTGTGATAAAACAATAAAACTGTAAGCAAGATAATGATAATTATGAATACTGTATATTATTTTTTCTTTTTTTTCATCATTGCAAAAACTATTAGCAAAATTTTTTTTAAATTTTATTTTTATAAAAATTAAAAATTATTATAATTAAAAATTATATATTTATTCATGGATGTTTTCTCCTGCTAAATGAACCTATTTCATAGATATTTCACTGATTTGGGAAAAGGATTCGAATGGTTCAGTGGAAAAGGATTATTAAAATTGTCGGGCCTCAATGTCCCAACTATACCTTCGATAGGAGGAAAGCTGAAAGCCTTTACCAATCAAACAGAGAAGAAATCTTTTTTTTGCCCCATCAGACTGCATTAAATCTCTAAAAGCACATTTGTCGATATAAAAATGACAGTTGAAAAATATGTCAACAACAAATTTAAAAAAATTAAAAATAATGCTAAAACGGCCGAAAGGAATGGAATAACTAAGTCGTTCGAAACTTGCTGTAATTACAAAGTGAAAATTAGTAACGGTAGTGGCTTTATATAGTTAAAATTGGCAGGAAATCATCTTAATACCTTCTCATTTGCCAAGAATATTAAAATAAGGTTAGATTTTAAGGGTATTAGAGGATTATAAGCCAATGTTTTAAGAAGATTGACCGTTTTAAGAATGTTTATTTTGGATTTTTTAAAAAGATTTTTTGAAAGAATTAGATATAAGGCATTCACATGCGGTAGAAAACTAGAATAGAAATAAGCGATAATAGGTGCATTTTCTCTTTTCTTTTTTTTTTAAGGTAAAGATAATCTATATTATAAGTTAGATCATAAGTCGATTTTCAATTATGAATTAAAAATTGGCTAAACCTAATTGGCAAAGCGCACGAAGGATTTGTGTGCGATTAGAACTAATTTTTTCAATATATAAAAATAAATAATAATAATTTATACATTTTACTTTATAACTTAGTATAGCTCCCTAATGGCTCTGTGGAGCAGTTGTTTTTGGCTTCTCACTTCCTGATTTTTTCTTCCACCAGAAATATTCCAGCTCCTATTGAGAATAACTATTCTACCAAATTTCATTGCATTCTTTTACCATATTTAATTTTTTAGACAATTGTCATCACTCACCATTAATGACTAGAGTCACTGATTAATGAGACATCTCACCCAGATGACCATTTGAAAATAGTAGTAATCAAGATGTAGCACCATCAAGATTTTTAAATTATAGGTTTAGTGTTACCAAGGGATTGCAGATGGTCATAAAAATGGACCTCTGCTTAATTCACACTCCCAAGCAATGGATATGATGGATACAATGGAAGAAAGCTATCTAGCGGGTCGGTGAAATCACTATCGTAGCTGTCGTAGTTTGAAATCACTGAATTTTTTCAGATTAATTTCTTGATTTCTAGCAAAGCAATCCTTACGCAACCCTTATCAAGGAGCAAATTCCTTTCTGAGTGCAGCTTGTTTCCTCTTCAGAATGTTCGAGAAAATTTTAAAAAATTGATTCAAGTTAGATTTAGTTTTTTTTCTTCAGACCCTATATTATTTTATTATTTTGCATAAAAAAAGAATCATTCTCGCTGTTCTCATCGTGGATTTGAGGGCTTTAAGTTCTGATGAGGATCACATTTGTTTATATTAACGTGTTAACAGATCTTCTAAATTGGCAAACATCACTGAAGCTTATCACTTTTAAAAGTGACCAAAGGCTAGTTAAACCTTCAAAGTATCAATCGTGACACTCAAGTCTACTATTTCTTCAGCTTCGAGATGGTTTTCTATAGTTTTTCTTGGGATTGACGCTTTAGACAGAAAAAAATATCAAAAAAATAATAGAAGTCAGCAGCTATTGATAGAAAATCAAAATCGATAATAGTGATAATGTAATTAATAATTCTAAAATGATTAGCAGAAGAATGATTGCTAATTTAATTGACCAGTATTTTCTTTGATTATTTCTTTTGCCTATACTACTTTAAGAAATGGTAAGGCATATACGTTTCCTATTCAACCTCCTGTGTAAGTCGCTGACTAGATTATGTTTGACGACCTTAAGTAGTTTGGCGACAAGTGATCCAAGTGAAGAGTTCGCCTTTAAAGACTTAAATATATGCTATAAATGCATGGAGTACCATTCAACTGCAAAACCAACTAGAACGATCAAAAATCTGAAGATAAAAAGGTAAACCTATCACAAATTAAAAATGTATTTAGTTGTTATCAAAAATATTTAGTTGTTCGGATAAGAATGTTTATAGAAGAAATCTTTATTGGGAAAATACTGAAATTTCAAAATATTGTTGGCCGATTTCATCAATTTATCCTTCAGTTTCAACATTAATATCGTTTAGTAATAGTCGTCTTCTTCAAAATAAGTAACATGCATGGGACAACGCTTTGCAAAATAATCGCCACCCTGAATTTCAGTAAGTTTTGTAAAAAGGAAAATTACTTCAATTTTATAATTTAAAGATGAAAATAAAGAATGAAAAAATATAAGGCTAGAATCATTTGTTGAAACAATAAAATCTGCCGCCATTCTTAAGTACCATCCTTGTAACTTTTTTGGTGTTTTACTGGTGCAACTTATTTCAGCTTAATGGAACAATAAAATCTTAATTTTTTGTTCATTTTATAGCCATTTTTTTTTTCCTTTCTCTCTATCTTTCTTATGAAAAGACAATAGTTTGCTCCTCGTATAAATCCGAAAGATGCTGAAAAAAAATGTCGAATTCAAATAATGTAGAATTATTAGCTGTTAAAAGTGCTGCAATCGTCAACCTAGGAAGAACGGATTACCAGCCAGTCGCGCAAGCGCCAACGTTTTTTCCCAATAAAAATTTGTGAAAGTAATATTTCCCCACCATTACGACTTTTTATAAGTAATTTCCTATAAAATCATAGCGAAATTCCATTTACAAAAATTTTCTAAGCGGTGCAAAAGGAAAATGGAAAAATCAAAAGCTTTTTAAGAGTTTTTTCCATTTCAGTTTCACTTTCATCAAAATATTAGACACAGCCATCCTTTTATTTATATTATTTTCAGTGTTATTTATTTTGCATGATTAATACGATTAATACGATTAACCAATACGATTAATAAAACAAAAAATAAAACGACATTCGGCAAACATATTTAATAAATAAAAATTATTGAGCAAAGCCAAGTAATTATATATATATATATATTAATTTAAAAAAAATAATAAAAATCCTTTTTTTAATATTCTCAAATCGTTGAAAACGAGAGAAAAATAAGCAAAAAGAAAATAAATTTTAAAATATTTTTCCGAAATATAAACGATGAAGCGCTCGTATAAGAAAATTTAAGAAACTATAAAAAAAATTAACACAACAAATTAAGAATTTTAAATCAAAAAAATGATTATTATTGTATAAGCCTGAGCCAACTGATGTTAAAAATTTCATTTGATGGATTAATTATCGTTAATTCCTGATTGTGAAAAATTTTTACTCTAAATTAATGGCAAAGGATAATACAAGTTGAATTAATGCTCAAAAATTTCTAACAGCAAATGATGCTAGGAGCGGTGAAATAATTTTAGCAAAAAAACAAAAAACTCGATGAGTAGTTATAACATTGAAATGCAAAAAAAGAAATATTTGCAACAGTCATGAAAAAATTCAACAAAAACTAAGATAAGCATATATTCGCCAACCACTGCCACTGGCCTCCACTTCATATGCCACTTGAAATTCATTTAACTCACAAAAATGCAAAGAATCATAGAAACTGCACGAAAAATTTGCATAGGAAAAATATCAGCAAAAGGAAGCAGACTTATCTGTTAGCAGCCACTTATTTCATACAGCGTTTACTAGATCCATTTTTATAAAATTTTTTCATCATGGTCAATCTAATTCTAATAATAATATTATAAAATCAAAGTGAAATGGAAAAAAATTTGGAAATCAAAAAATATTAAATAATTGCACAATTATTCAATATTCAACTATCATAAAATAATTCAGTATTAAACCAGGAATAATAAAGTATGCATTTATTAGAATGATTTAAGCAAAAGTAAACTCTCAGATTATCCACGCTTTATCTTGTTTAATCCAATATCATTTAAAGAAATTTTTTATGCGTAACAGAAGAACACTAAAAAGATGTAATTTGAGAATAAGGAATCAAAATAGTTGGCTTTTAATGCGACATATCAAAAAACTTTGGAAAAAGGAATCAAGCGTGTGTAGCTTGGTAACATTTATGACAAAATGGCTTGCGATCGATTTCCTTGAAAGTGCCCTTATTAAGTTGTTTACGACAATACGAGCAACAAAAATGCTCTGGATGAAATTTTTGTCCCATAGCTGACACACATCGTCCACTAATTGGTTTAAGGCAATCCACACATAGGCTTCCACGTCTTTCGTGATAATGAATCTCACACAGAGGTATACCCCCATTTTCATAAAATGATCCGGAGTCGAATGGACGATGACATTTCTAGAAAAAAAATCAAACTACATGCCATATAAATTCTATTTGACTAACTATTAAGACGACCACGATAAAAAAATGGCAAAAAAAATATTCCTGATTAAATTTTTTAATCATTTCTAATATTAGTGCATTCAAAGATTTATTTCACCTTCAAATTAGGCATAGCTTGTCTTTATTGTTAGTTCAAGCGATGAATATTAAATAAAAACCCAGGAAAATGGCGTGGAAAATCAAAGCGTTAATGAATAAACCACACTGATTAACATCACTAATTAACCTTATTCTTATTATTGAGTTCCTTTTAACTGCTGATCGAAGACATGGCACGAACAAATATAATTCTTTTGAGCTAATATCTATTTTTCTTCAAATAGCTAAAGGACTTCATTCGAAATGAACTATTTTATCCAAACCCCATGAACGTTTTTCGATAATTTACCTTATTTTTCCACATTTTCTCCAAATGACTGAATAAGCATTTCATGTGTCAATTAGAATATTAATAGCCAACTTATCCTTAGCCAGAAAAACCTATTCAAGAATTTTAAAAGATGATTATTAATCGTCAATTTAGAGATCATTCACGCTTTTCGCGAAATTATTTTAAAATAACCTGGCAGACAAAACATTCCGGATGCCAGTGTGTTCCAAGTGCAGTAATAAAATTCATTTTGATCGGATTGCTACAGCCTTTACATTTTGGAGCAAAAATTCGAAAAAAGTCTGCCTTACAATAAGCACGACCATTCTGCAAAAGCTTTTTATTTGCACAATCTGTATAGCTAAAGCGGCGAAAGTTCACAAAGTTTAATCAGTCAGTAAAATATGATTATTCGCCTCCTCTTCTCTTTTATTGATTCGTATCTTAAAAAACCAAAACCTTCTCATAAAAACCAGCATCACCAAATTCTCGACCACATTCAGCACAAACGAAATGTTCCACATGAAACGTTTTTCCTAGAGCAGTCACACATTTCTGAAATTTGTTTTGAAAAAAACCTAGCGCTAAAAAATTATTTATAAAACTTTTTATAATATTTTTATCAAAGAAAATTGTTGTTAATGTTAATTAATTAAAGTGCAGTTTATCAATCAATAAAACAATATGAAGAAAACAACATATGTCGGTAACTCAGTGGCAAAATAAGTGCCACAGAGGTTTGAGTTCCAATCCACTGACGCACCATTCTTCCTCGGAAGGGAAGCTGAGTGGGTTTTTGCTCAATCTGGAGCACTGATGATGAAATTCTACTCCTGACAAGAGTAAACCTGTCCAAAAATCCGAGTGATACTGGCGACTCGTCTATATTTCTATCGCTAAGGTAATCCTCGGCATATTTACTAGCCGACAAACCAGCAGTCTAATCAGTATGGTGAATGTTCTTTAAAAAAAGGAAAAAAATGTATTATTTTTTTGATTAATAATTAAAGACAATAAAATGTTTAGACGTTTAACAGAAAATTGAAAAGAATTTTGAGTTGTTTTGGAAAAAATTTTTAAAATCTTAAAATTTTAAAAATTTTTAAATCAATTTTTATCCCGATTTTATTTTTTGTAAAAATACAGCAACATCTATATACAATGAAAAAACCCCTAAAACTATAAAATAAAAAGAATATAGTTTATAGAATATAGTGTAGAATATAGTTACATTTTTAATAGGACCATTGCAGTAGGCACATCGTGGAGAAAACAGATCATGATAATCGTTCTCGCAATATGCTTTCCCACATCGCTCGAAAAAATTCCGATGTCCGAGTTCTTCACCACACTGACAACAGACATAATGCTCAGGATGCCACATTTTGCCCAACGCAATTACCACCTAAATATTTAGAAAGCTTTTTAAAGGGAAACCACCTTCTGTCATAAAAATTATCACACCCACTTTTTTTCCTAAATCTTCTATTATTTCTTTAAAACTGATAATAAAAAGAGCACACCTGACCAACGATAGATTTACCGCAAGCAGCGCAATCTCCTTTTGGTATTGTACTAATCCCATGTTTCGACATATCCTTCTGAAGCGTTCCCAACACTGAATCCAATTGCATTGGATCTCGAGGCTAAATTAAAAATGAAAAAAAATAAAAAGCAAAATAATACATAATAAGCAAATCGCATCAATTTTAACAAGGCATGAAGCAATGAAAAAAAAAAAACTAAAAGAGATGTTTCAAAAATCAACACTAAATAACAAATAAAAAAAAGGTAAGAAAAATCATAAAGAAAAAAGAGAGAACTATAAATGAATAATTAAAAAGTTGAAAAATATGGTAAGAAAAGATTGATTAAATAAAATTAAATTAATCAAATATGAACATTGAATTAATCGAATATATCACTAAAAAAATGGTTCGAACAAAGATGTGGAAAGGAAATGTTCGAAATGCAGATATATACCGTCTAGAAAATGCGCTTGCACTTGCAGTATCATACATACAAGTCTATCATCCAAATTATTACTTCTCCTTATTGATTTTCAACTAGAAATGATCATTTCATTATTACAAATCCTGTGGGACCTCGCCATCCAGACAAACAAATAAATGCTGGTCAATCAGCCAGATATCGTTGTAGTAGACAAGAATCAGAAATCAGCACTAATAATAGATACAACAATATCAAGTGATAAAAACGTTAGGAAGAACACAGAAAGCTAGAGAAATACCAGGGAATAGAAGAGAAACTAGGGAAAATATGGAAAGTGAAAGTCAAAGTAGTCTCAGTGGTAGCAGGAGCATAGGGGCTGTGACTCCTGAATAGCGGCTCCAACCGAGAAGAGTGCTAGGCTAAAATATGCAGAACGCTCAAGCTTCCAGGCCTCTGTACAGAAGACCCGCAGAGATAAAGGATGGGATTTTAATTAATTTTGTCTTACCGAATCTCTTGCAGATAAATCGTCGATGGAATGACCAGAAGATATACCGCCAACACTTTTATGTGAACTAAAACGATTCAAATATCGTTGCATACCAATGAATATATTATAAAGGTTTCAAAATAAATAAAATAATGTGAAAATGGAACTCGACTGAATTTCTCGACTTAAATACCGGTGGTACTTGGGAAATCTTTCGAAAGACTAGCAAGAAATTGGGAAAAGGGATAGAATAAATAATAAATTAAATTCACTATTTCTTCTTAAACAAATAGAAGCAAACTAGTTTTCATAAATGAATTCAAAAAGCTTTTCAACAATAAAGAGTTCGCAAAATTTTTTGAAGGAACTCATGAAAAAACAACAACAAGCAGCAAATCGAAGGTTATAAATATATCCGCTCAGCTATTTTGCATTATTCACTTATTTCATAACTTATTTGAATTTTCACGCTATTTTAAATTTAATGTATTATTTCTTTAGACTAAATTCGAATTTTAAAGAAGTTTAGCGAACGCAATTTGAATTCTAAAAGGCTGAAATTAATAGTGATTCGTGCTTCGAAAATAGATCAAGAAACTCTTACTTGTCATGATCTAATTCACTGAACAAACTATGCACGGAAGGTCGTACGGCCACCGAAGAGTTCATTAAGTGATCGTCTAAAAACATTATTTGTTAACAATAAATATCAGAGCCTCCGTGATCAAACAAAAGGAAATGCTAGAAGGAAACAAACAAAATACTCGGCCAATTAGTTGAAGATAAATATCGATAAATAGTGAAGCTAGCATGTTTAAAGACAAGAACCAGTTTTCTCCAAATTTGGAGACCTTTCAATTTCGAAAAATTTTAGGTCGTAAAAAACACAAAATTTGACTTTACTTACCCTGTGGGCTTTTCCTTTGTTCAATATAGCCATCAAGCATATGTTCGATATTATCAAGATCACGATGGGAGTTCGAGCTGAAATGAGACAACAAGTTTTAATTTCAGTTATTAGTTGAAAATGTAAGCATAGAGGAGGAGAATTCGAAGTACCTTTTAAATCAGCCATAAATTTCGAAGAAATGCACTAAAAAAATAACTTCACCACAAAATTTGAAAACAAAATGAATGCTACATGAAAAGACTCGGATGTCGGAAACATCTAAGTATCTGTACTTCTAAGTGATTTTCTGAAGGTTCTCTGTACCTCTAGGACCACTAGGACCAGGCAAAGTGGTTGTGGATGGTTATATATGTGAGAAGAAAAATACTAAGAATATATTCTGTATCGAAATGTCCTCCACTAGTTCCAGCATAAGAAGAGAAGAGAAATGCAGACCTTCTCGTTTGTTCCTGATAAACTGGCTCAATGTCGTACTTATCATCATTATAACGATTACTGATATGAGCTCGTTTTAATATTTCGGTCGTATGTTGCAGGTCAGAGAGTAGCGCTTCTAATTAATAATTGCATTATATATTTAAATAAAAAGATGAACGAAAAATGAAAAATGAGCGTGTATAAGCTGTTTCAGACTAATGTAAAATTTTTCTAGCCAGAAATAAGTTGAAAGAAAGCAAAAAATGTTAAAAACTAAAACCAACCTAATGCAGGTGTTACGGCGTCCACAAAACGAGCATTGTCACTTAGTTTTCTAGGCATTATCACGAAATTTTCTTAAAGCTCTCTTGAGATGAGCAAGAAAGAAACACAGCAGAAAGAATTTCGACGAAGAATTTCCCAGAACTCATCTTCTATTTCCTAGTTCCTAATCATTCCTTAACGAAGAGCGAAAAAGCAATATCTTTATATTTTCAAGTAATTTCTTCCGATTAATTTGATAAGTTATGAAATACAAAACTCAATAAATAAATAATTAAGAGATATCTGCTCGACTAAGCAACGAAGAAATCTGAAGAAATTTTATCAAAAATTCATTTTAAAAAATAGGCTCTAAAGAAATCTTAAACGTAAGATTATTAACTTTATCATTAAACCTACTGTCCTGAAACCTACGATATCCATCTACAGTGGCACCACAGCCACTACTTGCAACCTCTTACTCGCACCGCCACTACTTACAATTTACAAGCACACCGCAGAACCGAAGAAGGCCTAAATTTTTTTCGGTCAACTTATAACTCGGAAACTTTATCTGCGAACATTTCATTTCCTCTCAAACTATTTTTACGACGTACGAATAAAATGATTCTCAGAACAATGCCAGCAAACATTATTTCAGTGAAGAACGAGTTAGCTCGATGATTATCAACGCTGTTTGTTCAATAGAAATCGATATTAGTGAAAGACTGAATTAGCGTTTTTTCCAATTGATTAACGTGAAAAAAAGAAAAAATATGAAAAAAACTCGGTTGGTATTCGGCGAATTATATTTATTTGATAAGAAAACATGCGCACAAGCATCCTATGTGATACACTTTTGGTTCATTAGTTTTATATTTTGCGTGTGGAGAAATAATATATTAAACAAATGAATATATATATCGGACCTATTTTTAAATAATTTTATTTTACTAAATCGTGCAAAAACTTTTGAAATTGATCGCTGAAGAAACAACTGGGAAACTTTTAATTTTCAATAGACTCAGTAATTAAGCATTTATCATTAGCTTATCATTTCCGGCTAGAATGGCTCAGTTAGTACGGCTTGGCTATAAATTTTTGCAAATCACTTGCTGACAGAAATAAAGGTATGCCGCCTACATCACCTGAGTTTTTCGATAAGTTTATATTCTATTGGGGCCAGGAAATGATCGTTGCCTCAATCTAAACCACTATGAATACGGCTATTCTATTAAAAGATTAATTTTAAAAGATATATACATATATATTTGTTAAGTAAATATTTCCAATTTTCCAAAACCATATTTTTTTGAGAATTTCTATTTGAAAAAAAGTTCAAATACGAGTTAACTACAAATATAAAAACTACAAGTATACAATACTAGTTTAAGTTTTTTTTTTTCTTTTTCTCTTTTTCTTTTTCTAAATTTGAAAACAAAGAATAGAAATAAATAAATATATATATATATATTATTTACAATATTTATGTTTGTCCTTCACAGGAGTAAACCTGTCATGTCTGGGTGGTTGTTGGGGATCCACCTGTAACTCTATCCCCAAGTGACTCTATGGTGAAAGGATACGGCGTCCGTGTATCTGTCTTCCGAAACACATGATACTCCTAGCCCGATGGTACATGCGATAAGTATACAATCCGGGGAATAAGCGATCCCAAGGCTGACAAATAAAATGTGCTTACAACCTATCGAGAAGAACAGCTCTCTGCATGCGCGGCGAGATATTAGTCATATTAGCGTGGAATGTAAGAATATATGAATGCATATGGATGTTGCAAGTCAAGCAATCACTCTCCATACCCTTTCTAAATATCGTGTGGATATCGCTTATTTGTCGAAGGTCTATTCTTCCTCACTTCGAATCTCGAGTAATTACTAATCCTAGCTCGGAGCAAAAGTACTGGCTACTATATCACTGTGGTGCTTCGGATAACTCGGAGCAAAATGGCGTAGCGATTGTTATGTCGGACAAGGCCCATTCCGCTTTGATTGAGTGGAAACCGGTAAGCGACCGTATGGCCTATGCCCGTTTTAAAAGTAAGTTCTATAATATCTCGGTCATCAGTGTCTATGCTCCAACTTTGTCAGCAGATGACCGTGATAAATAAAAGTTTTATGCGGAACTTCAACTTCTCTACCGAAACATGGTATGGTCATAATCGGGAGAGACAGGAATGCGCGCGCAGGTCATAATGCAGCTGCGATGACTGGACAGTTGGTAAACATGGCATTGGAGACCAGTGCGCCAATGGGGAATGCCGAAGAGCATGAACTTTTTATTACTAATATTTGCTTCCAGCATCGTAGAAAACATCTAATCACGTGGAGCTCCCCGGAAAACCAACATTTCAACCAGATATATCTTTGTTAGTTGCCAGTAGACGTTGGAAGAGTTCTTTACTAGATAGTAAATGCGCCCATCGTCTTCGAATTTTTTAGTTTGAGATAGTATTGTTCCTATCGCGATGCTGAAACGCGCAATCTTTATGGATCTGACCATGTTATTGTTCGAGCTAAGATTGCATAAAATTGACAACTCGCAAAAAACAATATCCCAAAGATCTTTCAACTATCTCAAACTAAAAAATTCGAAGACGATGGGCGCATTTCAAATTAAATTATTGAAGCATCTCAATTATGCAAATATCAATGACTTTTTTGGAATGTCAAATAAATATTGGTCCAAACTAAAGGATTGCCTCCGAAAGTCAGCTACTTCCACACTAGGGTAGACTAGGAAGTGCGTAGTTGGATATCGAAAGTAACTGTACAACTGTCTGAAAAAGCTGCCAAAGCACAAATGTCAGGTGATCCTGACTACCGGGTGCATTGAAGATTTGCAACGAAAGCAGCAAGGCGGACAGAAATCTCTATTGGAGTGACATGGCCTTAAGAATGGAGGTGGCGGCTCGATTAGGCGACAATAGGAAACTGTTCTGTCATCTTCATAAAGCAACTATGACTCGATCAGTGAAATGCTAATGACTAAAATGCTAAATGCTAATGGCGTGATGACCAAGAGTATTAAGGACTACCTCATGAGATGAAAAGAATTCTTTAAGGCTAAACTTAACCATGAAGCGCCCTGATACGCTCACCGAACCATACGCTTGCAATTGCAAGCCTCCAACAAAAGAAGAAATAATCTCCGTTAACCATAAGCTTAAGACCAATAAGATTCTGGGAGAAGATGGTCTTCAGATTGAACTTTGCAAATATTGTCCATCGTTCTTCATAACGCATCTTCAACAAATGTATTCTTAGTATGGGAAAAAAAGTATTACCAGATGATTGAAGCAAAGCAATTTCAATTTTGCTTCCAATTTCTCAAGAAAGGTGATAGGACAATCATCGAGGAATAGACATAGTATAGACATCTTAGCGAAAATTTTTTCTTTCCTTTTACTCAACAGAATTATGGAAATACGGGACAGTAGTATGCGCCCTAATCAAGCTAGGCATGATTGTGCTGACTAGATATTCACGGTAAGAAAGGTGTTGGAACATCGTTTCAGATATTTGCAATCCACTATCGACTTTGCGGCTGCCTTTGATTCAATTGATAGAGCGGTGCACTGGAGAGTGATGGAACGCGATAGTGTTGCAAACAAGATCATTAGACTCATAAAGGCATTTTATGAGCGCACGTCGTCTGTGTATATGGGGAACTGACAGATCCCCTCGAAATAAGAACAGGTGTCGGTCAGGGCTGTGTCCTTCCCTCCACAACATTTTACGGGTTCGCCGAGTGGATAAATCTGGAATCAAGATCGCATCGACCTTCGTTCAAATACCACTTGCATAAATAATGTTATTATAGAGCGTCGCCTTCGCTGTTTGGGGCACGTTCTCCGTCGTCCACCACAGAAGTTGACGCATATTTCGTTACTTACTAAACCGTATGATGGGTGACGTGAAAAGCGAGGTGGGCCAATCAAAACCTGGACTGATACGATTAGAAAAGAGATTTTGAAGATATAGGTGGACCAGCAACATATGGACTTAGACGATGAAAAAAGAAATGGCTTCTATTAATGTCTTCGATAGCACCAGACTTTGCGCCGCTTGGAAGAGTCTTACCCTTTGGAGCCAGTTTAACTAGTAATGGTGAGAGCTGTAATGGTGAGAAGAAATAAGAAATTCCCCATGGAAATAAGGATTTAGGAGCAAAGAAGGGAATGAATTTCATGGATGCTGAACAGTACGAAGTTTATTGGGATTAGGTGGAAGGGAGCCTTCGCAGCGAAAAAGTTGATCAAATAGCATTTTAATCTTTGATGGAAAAGACGGGTTGAAGTGGCCTTATCGGGTCGCTGGGTCGATTTTGGGTCATTTTTGCGAGGTATTTATGCAGTCCACTTTTCACTTTTATTTATTGTTTAATTAGTGCTGATTTAGCACATTATAGAAATATTAACGGAATTTTTAGATTCTAACATTTTTCAAGTTCTTTTCGTAAAATTTTTTCACATATTTTCATATTTATTTTCTAAAAAATTTTTCTCGTTTTTCATTTAATAGACTTCTTGAAATTTTTAAAAGCCAAAATTATGATGGTGCAGGCAAAACAAGAAGTGGCGAATCGCAAAATTGTTGGAGGGGAATGGAAGAGCAAAGGGAATTTATGCTTTTCTTTTTTGTTCTCACCCAACACCCATCGCCTCTGGTTAAGCCGAAAGTCACGAGCAAAACTGCGGAGGAATCTCCGAGATTTGCCAGATTTGTTTTGACAGGTTTACTCTTGTCATGCTGCACCGACCTATGATGATGATATATGATGTAGTATAGCGCTCTCTTTTGCCGCTCCTAACGTAAATTTATTCAAAGAAACATAAAAAGAGAGATTTGAAAGCAAAAAGAGCAAGGAACGCAATTTTTGTGGCGTTGTTTGACGATGAACCAGATAACCAACTAAATTTTTTGTTGTTCATTCATTCATTCATTCAATCGTTTAAAAAAATTGTAAATTTTTTTTGCTTTAAAGGGATGTGTAAAAATAAGTGGAAAAGGTGAATTTGATAATTCATTTGCTCGCAACTGCTGTGCTATTTTGAAATGGGCATAAACTGAATAAATGAAATATAAATTTTGGTTCAAAAAAATTCTACGATGTTGTATTTTATTTGTATTTTCAACAAGATTATCGACGTTTTTTAAGGTGTTTCCAGCGATTATTGCGATTTATAGAGGTCCTTTAGTTCTTTTTCCAGGCGGTTTTCTGCCAAATAGATTTTTTAACAAAATGTCGCTAAACAGTCGAATGCATCCACGTAATCCATACAAGGATAAACCGCCAGATTTCGAAGCTCTCGCAGGTAAATATGAGGAATTTCGCTCATGTTGTAAAATCGGTACAAATGGTAAGGTGAGTTTTAAAGCACTGTACTTCCGTTTTTAATTTTCTACATTTAACAATTTCACTTAATATATTTTATATATTTCTTAAAAGAATTCTTACTTGCAACTAGTTTAAGAGCTAAGTGGTAGATATTTCCTTAAAAAATATAAATTTGATAAATAGCGAAATATTATAAGAGTGCAGCACATAGCAATACTATATGTTTGTTAGTGCAGAAGTTCATTCTATAGCAGGAATTTGTATATACAGTAATTTACATTAGTAAATATAGCAATAAACATTTCGCATACAACCTATGGTAATTTGGGTGATTAGACATAAAACGATTACTGCGTTAAAAAACGCATGTGTTGCGATAAAATTTAAAATTATAAAAAGTAAGTTAGAAAAAATAAATAATTGCCAATAATAAACAATAAATTTGTGACAGTTACCGTAATAGGAAATGTTTTATTTTATAGTAAGTCCTAATTTGGATAAAATTAGTACTTTTAATAGTGAAAATACCAAGATTTCGTGAACTGCTGTTGGCTACACCATCTCCAGAAAGGCGAAGAGAAAAATGGTCAAATATTACTTTTTATCAAATTTTATTTAAAAAAATATATAAAATCATATAATTCTTTTATTATGTCAGTTTCCATTATGGAATGGAATGTTCTTTCTTTTTCTTCTAAAAACATCCGTTTTTGGTTTTTCTTGTCTTATACTATGACAGAAGGCATATAACAGCCGAAATCGATAATGGAGTGGCATGGTTCTGAATATGGAGATGGCAATTCGGGTAGGCACTATTTGTTAGTGAGCATAATTAAGCAACTATGGGAAAGCGATGAAGTGATCCGAGAGAAAGATCCGAGGCTGCTTAAGAGACTCTCTCAGAGATTCCCTATTCTTGTGCAGTAGATTTAAAAATGTTATCATGTCAGATATTTCATATATTGCTAGCAATGTAAAACTTATCGAACCATATGACTGCAATTATGAACACTCCAAAAGAACAATAAACATTTAAAGCTTAAAGCTAATAATACTATCTAAATAATCTTCGAGCTGAAATATTTAAATTTTATCCAGTATCCTTCACAATTCATCTTAAGTGAATATACTCTCTGGTATGGAAAAAAAAAGTAATAAATACCAGGTGATTAGCGCAAAGCAGTCCTGTTCCATTCCACAAGGAAGACTTAACTATGATAACTATCTCTATCTATGATGACTATCTCTCTTCTGAATAGACTTTAGGTATCATGAAATAATAGATGCCACAACCAAGCTGGACTGAGATGCGGATATGTTTGTCAAATATTTATGTTAAGCATTTCAAAATATTGTTTCAGATATCGGTAACCTCTTCTTGTTTCATTGATTTTGCTGCCATCGATCCACCTGATAGGGTTGGCACTGTGGATGACGATGGAATGTGACACAGATAGTCATCTGACCTATTAAGATGCGTCAGTATATATTTTCGAAATAAGAAGTTATATGCACCAGGGCTGTTCTTTCTCTTACAACATTCAACTATGCCATAGATGGGATTATGCATAATTTTTGCCAGCAGTCAAAAGCATCTAATCAGATCTTGAATACATTGTCTTCATGGTTGCTTTTGCTGGCATTTATTAAGGTCTACCAAGAAGTTCTATATGTGCACTAATAACCAAAATTTCAAATATGTCAATCGAGCGAAATAACCAATAATATAGCTATAACTCAGAGTATGATATCCATATTAGCGAAAGTTTGCATCTACGTGTAGTTCTTGTCATATGGTTGCGAAACACCGTCAACAAAAGTGGACAAAGTTAAGAAGTTATCCATTTTTCTCCTACCGTATATCTTACTTGCCTGTCAAATGGGTAGAGACTTATACAGTTACATCCACAATGCTAAAATACCATCTGCATTAAGAATATTATCACAATACGTTGTTTGCACTGTTTGGGCCATATTCTTCGTCCATTACAAGAATAAATGAATTTCTTATTGATGCATGTGATAAATTCTGTGGTGGACATCAGAAGCGAGGAAAACCAATCAAGATTTGAACTGATATAATCGGAAGAAATTTTGAACGTATTGGTGGTCTAGCAATATGTGGGCTTAGGCAATGGAAAAAAAGTTTTTGTCATTTTTAATCTAACCAGAAATAACTGCATGCACGTGATAAGAAGATAAGTCTTTTCATAATTGCTTTTCTTAGATCAGTAAACATGATTATTATATGTTTAGACTATACATATAGTTTGATACCAGCCTACCTGCAGAACCTGCAGAACATTCATGAGAAAGGGGAAACATTAAGTAAATATGACGAGAAAAGACGATAGTGAAGGACTCAGCGACTTCAATATCGTGGGTTTCTAAGGTATCAAAGGAATATATGAATTGCAAAGATGAATTGCAATTTTATTAATATCTAAGCGATAGAAAATAACCGTTTTATAGCCATTGAATGTAATGTTTGGGTTATTTTTTTGATTTATTTTATATATAAATATATTTTTAGGGATGAGGATAAATTGCTTCTAACCAGTGCAGGGGATGGGGAGCTAGTTAATTTTAAGTCAGTTTTTCGGTATTTACTTATTTGCTTAACCGTTTTATAGCCATTGAATGTAATGTTTGGGTTATTTTTTTGATTTATTTTATATATACATATATATATGATATATATATATATATATGTATGTTCAATCCTAGTTATTTTGTTTTTCTCTGTGGTGCTGTTTTTGCTTCATCTTAATTTCTTAGTTGACGTACCGTATGAATTTTGTAATTCCAGGGAACTATTATTATTCAGTATTTATTCAAATATTTTTTTCTGCATATAAAGCATTTTAATTCATTTTTCCTGCATTTTATTATGGATATTTAGTTTAAAATTCTTTATGATTTTATATTTTATATTTTATTATTTTCAGATTTTGATTTAAAAGGGAAGAAGAATTGAGGAATTATGAGAATTGATATCAAGAGAATATAAAAGGTGTATCAAGGGTATATAATGAAGATCTAGTGTAGAATTCAAATCAAAAAAGAATTCAAACAGTTTAGGGATGAGGATAAATTGTTTCTAACCAGTGCAGGGGATGGGGAGCTAGTTAATTTTAAGTTAGTTTTTCGGTATTTACTTATTTGCTTAAAGTAACAGGGTTTTTTAGTCCTGTACCTGGATTATACGCAAAAATAATGAAAAGTTATAGCAAACCAAAATTAATGATAACAGAGATATAAATGTTTCAGTAGAGAACAATCCAGAAAAAAAAAAGAATATCATAAATAGATTTCCAATTTTCATGTTCTTTTATGATAACTTAGATTATCTTTTCTTACATTGTGAGCTAAATATTCTATCTATCTAGAAGTGTGATTTAATTATATTTGTCAGTAACTTGACAAGTATGTTAAATGAAATGGTAAAGATGGAATTAGTTTTATAAATACATAGAAAATATAATAATTCATCATAGGTTAAAATATAGTATTGAAAATTTTTTATTTCCATTTAGAAATTCCATTTAATTTTTAGAGTTTCATTTTAATTCTTTGGCTTCTGAAAATGAGTAGAAAAAATGTTCTTAAAGTCTCCTCGATGAAGTTCGTTGTCTTCGTTGTCGGTTGATCAAAATGATTAGCTCAATAATGATAACATGGTAAGGTACTATTTATAGGTTGCATTGAACTTTCGGGATGCGAATAATGTTCGAATATTAGCGAAAACGCTATTACGCGATGATTTTGGTTTAAATGTTGAATTGCCTCCTGATTGCTTAGTACCCCGAGTACCTCAACGTCTCAATTATATCTACTGGATTGATGATCAGCTGAAGACCAATGGTTTAACTCAGGATGTTCTTGGAATCGATATTGGTAATTTTTGTTTTATTTCAGTCATTATTTTTTATTTAGTTTCCAATTGAATCTGCTTCCATTCATTATTTTTGTCTTATCTGGCTACACTGACTACTAGTGTGAAATCTTTTCGATCGCTCGCAGGTGGGTTCCGAATACCATCCTATTAGTCAATTATAAGATTTTGTATCAGTTTGTTTTTTCAAGCAGTTACGATTATAATCTTTACAATTCACTTGGTATTTTAATTTTTTTTTAGTTTATAAATGGTTTTTTTTTCTCTAAAATTTCTCTAAAACATTTTAAATTACTTATGTTCAGTAACATTTTTTGTTTAAATTCATTCTTTTTTCAATATTCCCTTTTAGCATAGAATTTTGTTTAAAGGAATTTTCCTTATTGTTATCATTGAAACTCACTGAAAACTGCTTGGAAGCCTTTGATAGAAGTTGATAGTTTCTGAAAAACAAATAAACAGTACGTGCCTTGTTTTTCTAGTTTTTTATCTAGTTCGTTTCTTATTTAATTTTTATAATTCAAAAAGCTTATTATTTTTATTTTCTTTCTCTTTATTTTCTTCAGTAGGACATTCAGTAAAATGATTGCAGGAACCGGTGCTTCATGCATATATGCGTTATTGGGTGCAAAACTGTTTGGTTGGAGTTTTATTGCTACTGATTCTGATCCTCGTTCATTAGAAGTAAAGATAGCTGAAATTTTCAGAAATTTCAGTCAATTTGTATCATTTCATCATCAAAACTTTTGTAATTTCTTTCAGGTGGCTAAACAAAATGTGGAGTCAAATGGTTTGCGAGATAAAATTGAAATTGCACATGTGGACAAGAATCGATTAATTAAAGTATACTTTTTGCTAACATTGTCTGTTAATATTTTAAAAAATGGCATGAGGAAAATTATGATTCTTAAATGAGAGAAATAGAAAACTATAATTTGAAAATAATATGCCATATCGATATGAGAAAGATCTTTGTTTCAAAAATTCAATTTTTCAAAAGTTAAAATCGTTAAATTCTTCTCTTTGTTTAAAATAATCAAGTTTTAAACTTTCGTAAATCAAGAATCAGTTTTAAATATATTGTCAATAGAATTTAACTCTTTTCGTTAGCTTTGCGAATGAATGTTTTTGATGAATATTTTGAAGAGAATTGTTATTAATCTTTCTTCCTTCGGTTTTTCAAAAAATTTAGAATTTATGATGCTATCATTCTTGAAAATTATCTAAAAATTTTATTTATTGATACGGTTATTTGGTATATTGTTTTATCGATAAAATGAATTCCATATATTCAGGACATTGTAAGATCACATGCCAGTAATAATTTTACATTTTGCATGTGCAATCCACCATTTTTTGAAAAGGAAGAATTCGACGAGGTAATATTCTTAATTAACTCATTTCTATTTGCGCATGTTTTTCTGGCAAATTGAGATATTTTTTCAAATTGAAATCTTTTAACATTGATCAAAATGCCATTCTGCAGAAATTCATGCCTATAGACGACAATGTTGTAGTAAATATTTGCAATGAGGGTTATAAGTCGGTACCCCTGTCAGCAACTGTTGCGAAAATTAATGAGGTGACTGTGGCGGTAAGTTTCCATTTACATTTTCGTATGATTTCATAAGATTAGCATCATTTTTCGATATTTTAACTTTTGATTCTAATATTTTCTAATCGCATTTTCAATTCTTATTGTAATTTGGAAAAAAGTTTTAAAGCATAAGGAAGTAAGATAAAAGTCGAATTTTTAGGGTGGTGAAGTAGCATTTATTAGTCAGTTAATTGATGATAGTCTTGCCCTCAAAAGATCTGTGGTGTAAGTTTTCTTGCTGAAATTAAATTCTTGTTAAATTCTTATTAAATTTCATGTCCGAAACTTCTTCGAAAATAAATAAAAATTTTTTTTCAGAATTTATACGTCGATGGTTGGGCGGAAATGTAGTCTGTTAAAATTAAAAAAGAAACTCGGGCGTTGTTCGAATGTAAAATACACTTTTGGAACATTAAGTCAGGGTAAAACTCAGCGTTGGATTCTTGCTTGGAGTTTTGAACCACGGATCAATTTTTTATCTGTTTGTTTATTATTTAATCTTGCTTGTGATTACATGGAAATCTTTTGGTTTTATAGCTTCTGGTATTCTTAATTAAATTGTGGTTTATTTTAGACGATAAAGGCCTATTCTCCTTTCAAGCTGCAGTTTCCATCGGCTGATTTTGGTCAGGAGAAATCAGTATTATGGGCGAAGCAAGTTCTTGATACTTTAAAGGTAACATATATGATAATTCATTTACAAATGAAACTCTCAATACGTGGCTTTTTATGTGATATTTTTCGATTTTTTGGTCTAGTGATCTTTACAATTTATTGAGATGATAGGGTCTTTACAATTTATTGGTCATGGGAAAGGATGAATGGATGAAAGAAGATTCTACCGTTGTAATTGAGATGAGTATTAAGTAAATTATTTATGAAAACTATGGAAGCTCGAGAGAATATAGCGTTTTTATCGATAGTAAATGCAGACAAGTGATATAGAAATGGAAATTAAAAGGAAAAAAAAGGGATGGACCAGATAACCGAGAAATTGCTGAATTTTCTATGCTTATTATTCACTTAATATTTTCATAGTTTCTTCATCTTGTCCTTCAATTTCCTTTCTTCATTTCATTCGAATTTTGTTTCCATGAACCATTCCTTTCGAAAAATCAGATGATGCTGGTAATTCTTCACTTTTTTTGCCAAACGGCTTCCTAGCTAAATTTATTTGATTAGGGTTTTTTAATGATATTTACAGAAAAAATTTTAAAGAATATGTATATTCAAGGAAAAAGACAATTTTTAATGATTTTGGATTAATATAATTATTAAAATGGAAATGGGAAATATTCATGTCTTTTAAAGTTCAAAAATGGATATTTTAAATTTTCCATATTTTCATTTTTCAGATTTCTTATTACCAGTCTGATGAAAGAATCTTTGTATGTGATGCAGCTAAAAATACATGGTCAAATCAAAGGCGAAAACGCCGAAATAGTTTTCAAGAAAAAGGAGGTGATATTTATCAAATTAAACGGTTATGTTTGCCTCCTAATGCTATTTCCTGTAGCGCCGGATTAGGTGTTGGCGATGGTCAGGATAGCCTTTCAAATGCTGGTAATTTCAATGAATGCATGATTCTCGATAATGCCTATAACAGTAAACGATTTGACTCGTCAATTCAAGTATGCACCTTTATTTCTTCCTCGTCTTCAAAAAGTGGAAAAGCAATTTTTAAAAATCTTTTTACAATTTAAAACTCAGTTTTTCAGACCTATCTACCACTATGCGAAAAATCTCAGTCAATAGTTCGTTTTGAATTTGCATTATCACCCAACGATAAAGGTTTCGTTTTAAGTTGGATTGATGGATCTCGAAATGCTTTACATCAGATCAATCAGTATTGTAAAAATCAGATTTCGAAATTGGATAATCGCGCGGAATCTGAATAAAGAAATGCTTTTTTGCTTTTTCTTCCAAATGCTTTAGATGTTTTCTATTTTCTTCATTCCTTTTTCTTTGTTTGCATAATTTTGTTTTGTTTTTTCCTTTATCTTTTACCTCTGAAAATTTTATCAATATGATTGCCAAACAAAATTCGCTTAGCCTTGCCTTTTGCCTTTATGATTTGTTTTTCCTTTTTTTCATGGTTAAATACTAATTAGCTTAGCAATTTTTTTATTGGCTTAATATTATTTTTCAGTTTACAAATCAAATTTTTTTATTTCAATTTTAAACTTAGGAATTCTGTTGTAGTTTTTTTTTAAAATTTTTCATTTTTTCATTCATTTTTCGAAATTTTTCCTTCAAGTCAGGTCTTGAGAACATCTTTTCATTTATTGTATGGCTAAATTTTTCTGTCTTTTCTGCAAAATGATTTAAGGTTATTTTTATGAATATATGGTTTTCAAGCTATTTTTTCTGTTATTGTGTAATAAAGATGTCTAATGAAAGGGCTTATGGCTCATGATTTCTCTTTTAAATTAATTCTTAAGACGGGTTTCTTGTATAAAAACTTAGTAATTGGTCTTTGATCTTTGTAAATATATTTTTTAAAAATTTTTTTATAAATGTTCATATATAAGTGTTCACTGGTTTCCTTATTTTCTCAAGTAAAATGGAATATATCGATGTTTTTGTGACATTATTTTTGGAATAAGGAGATTTCAGTAACTACATAGGTGATAAAATTGATTGTATCAGTTTTTATTTTATTATCATGATCAGTTTGATTCATTTAATTTCATAATTTTCTAATTTTCCATACTAAAGAGAAGTAAAAGTTCTTGATCTTCATGAATATCAAGTAAACGAAGATTATATTCTTTATTTACAATTACTTTTTCTGTTACAATTTTTAATCAAATATTTAACGAATTGATAGGTGCTTTTATATTTTTCGCATTTTTGAAATTTGAACTTTTTCCTTTGTTTTTTTCACTTCAAAATTAGGTGAAAACATTGTTTTAATATTTGGAAAATTGTGAAAAACTTTGAATTTTTTGGATTATTAAATTATTTTTGTATGATATGTACTTCGAAAATACGAATGTTTTAAATGCTTAGAAAATTTTTCGGAGAATTTTTTAAATTTAAATTTATTTTTGACACTTTTTAACTGAAAATGCTTAGAATAATTTCTAATAGAGTAATTTGCACGATAATTTCATTGATTTAATGGTTTCGGTTTTTTTTAAAATATAGATTAATTTGATCGCATTTAATTAAATTAAATTGATTAAATATTAGATTAATTAATTTAATTGACTTTCATATCAGTGTATAAAATGGATGTGTAGCGTATAGGATGGATGTTTTTAGCTAATGATTAATTTGATTGCATATCACCTGTGAGAAATGAGAAATCGAAAATGATTCGATGCGTGTGATTTTCGAAGTTTGGTCGACGTCATGGAATTAATTTTAAGTGTCGAGCGACGATAAGAATGGCTTTCATGAAATCTCGCCGAATTTTCTATGTAAATTATTTCTTACTGTTGGCAAGGAACGCAGCATTCTTTTTTTAATAATCCGCAATTGATATAAGAGAAAAAATGGATAGTCTTGGTAATTTACTCTTTTATTCCTTGTTTTTCATCGCTTTCGCTTTTTCTTTTGTTTCACGTTCATTATCTGAGAATGCTTCGTAACAATTAAATACCATTTTGAAGATTTTTGCACGCATCAGAAATTTTTTAAAATCATTTTGCCGAAAAATGTTCCTTTTGACAATTTCTGTGTTTTTTAAATTCATCCATTAATTAAGGACATTTAAGAGATTTTTAAAATCATTTTTTGGTTTGTTTCTGTCATCGAATTTTTTTTCCGAGGCGCTCACCATTAGGCTCGCTCCACATGGCAATTTTTATTGTAGAATCATCAGCTTCAACCGGTCTTTTGAAACACACGCTAACTTGTGCCAAGAGTAGAATCCTAGCATGTGCGCTCTGAAACGAGCAACAAAAACAACTGGCCATTTTAGAATTATTGAACTTATGATGATTTATTCGATTTATTTTAATACTTATCTTTTTCTCTAGGATTTAAATATGCCTCGAAGCGTTTATTCAAACCCATCTGTGTAAAATTCTAAATTCGTCAATTTAGCAGCTCGTGAATAAAATTTAAGGTTTTTCCTTATCACTAAATTATTATTTTATGAAGAACTATGGGAAACATTTCAAAAAAGAGGAACCTTTTTTCTATATTTTATTTTTAATTATCTTCGAACTAAAATCAGTTTTTTTACATTTTTTTATCAAAATTACTTCTAAATATTTTCATTTGGTAAAAATTTTGCTGATTTATAAAAAAATTTAAATAATTGATGAGAATTAATCACGTAATGGAAGGGAAAATAACGAAACATTTTCGACCCATATTTTTTTCTTCTAAGCTGCAAGTTATCATTATCTTTATCATCATCAGCTGCAAGTTTGTTATTTGAGTTTAACATCATCGATTGTTTTGATTTGTCTGATTATTATCGAATATTTTAATAATTATATAATAATGGCCTTCTCATCGAAAACTGCTGTGGAAAAACGTATAAATTGGTCTGATATTGCAGAAATTGCTAACGGTTTGCTTTTTTATAAATCCTTTATTCTTTATTCCCTTGGTTATTTGAATATTCATTATCAGTTTGATTTAATATGTGTTTTATACTTTTTTATTTTTTATATATTTGAGATATATTTTTTAGAATTTTTTCAGTGAAAATTTTTTGAATTTTTTGGCATTATTACTTGCAATTCCTTGTGCAATTTTTTAAAGATAAATCAAAAAATGCGAAAAATTTTGGTTTTTTAAGAGGTATGAAATAATTTTTTTTCCTATGGTTTTGGAAAATTAAAAATCTTCTTCTTCTAACAGCTCTCACCATTACTAGTTAAACTGGCTCCAAAGGGTAAGACTCTTCCAAGCGGCGCAAAGTCTGGTGCTATCGAAGACATTAATAGAAGCCATTTCTTTTTTCATCGTCTAAGTCCATATGTTGCTGGTCCACCTATATCTTCAAAATCTCTTTTCTAATCGTATCAGTCCAGGTTTTGATTGGCCCACCTCGCTTTTCACGTCACCCATCATACGGTTTAGTAAGTAACGAAATATGCGTCAACTTCTGTGGTGGACGACGGAGAACGTGCCCCAAACAGCGAAGGCGACGCTCTATAATAACATTATTTATGCAAGTGGTATTTGAACGAAGGTCGATGCGATCTTGATTCCAGATTTATCCACTCGGCGAACCCGTAAAATGTTGTGGAGGGAAGGACACAGCCCTGACCGACACCTGTTCTTATTTCGAGGGGATCTGTCAGTTCCCCATATACACAGACGACGTGCGCTCATAAAATGCCTTTATGAGTCTAATGATCTTGTTTGCAACACTATCGCGTTCCATCACTCTCCAGTGCACCGCTCTATCAATTGAATCAAAGGCAGCCGCAAAGTCGATAGTGGATTGCAAATATCTGAAACGATGTTCCAACACCTTTCTTACCGTGAATATCTAGTCAGCACAATCATGCCTAGCTTGATTAGGGCGCATACTACTGTCCCGTATTTCCATAATTCTGTTGAGTAAAAGGAAAGAAAAAATTTTCGCTAAGATGTCTATACTATGTCTATTCCTCGATGATTGTCCTATCACCTTCCCATACTAAGAATACATTTGTTGAAGATGCGTTATGAAGAACGATGGACAATATTTGCAAAGTTCAATCTGAAGACCATCTTCTCCCAGAATCTTATTGGTCTTAAGCTTATGGTTAACGGAGATTATTTCTTCTTTTGTTGGAGGCTTGCAATTGCAAGCGTATGGTTCGGTGAGCGTATCAGGGCGCTTCATGGTTAAGTTTAGCCTTAAAGAATTCTTTTCATCTCATGAGGTAGTCCTTAATACTCTTGGTCATCACGCCATTAGCATTTAGCATTTTAGTCATTAGCATTTCACTGATCGAGTCATAGTTGCTTTATGAAGATGACAGAACAGTTTCCTATTGTCGCCTAATCGAGCCGCCACCTCCATTCTTAAGGCCATGTCACTCCAATAGAGATTTCTGTCCGCCTTGCTGCTTTCGTTGCAAATCTTCAATGCACCCGGTAGTCAGGATCACCTGACATTTGTGCTTTGGCAGCTTTTTCAGACAGTTGTACAGTTACTTTCGATATCCAACTACGCACTTCCTAGTCTACCCTAGTGTGGAAGTAGCTGACTTTCGGAGGCAATCCTTTAGTTTGGACCAATATTTATTTGACATTCCAAAAAAGTCATTGATATTTGCATAATTGAGATGCTTCAATAATTTAATTTGAAATGCGCCCATCGTCTTCGAATTTTTTAGTTTGAGATAGTTGAAAGATCTTTGGGATATTGTTTTTTGCGAGTTGTCAATTTTATGCAATCTTAGCTCGAACAATAACATGGTCAGATCCATAAAGATTGCGCGTTTCAGCATCGCGATAGGAACAATACTATCTCAAACTAAAAAATTCGAAGACGATGGGCGCATTTACTATCTAGTAAAGAACTCTTCCAACGTCTACTGGCAACTAACAAAGATATATCTGGTTGAAATGTTGGTTTTCCGGGGAGCTCCACGTGATTAGATGTTTTCTACGATGCTGGAAGCAAATATTAGTAATAAAAAGTTCATGCTCTTCGGCATTCCCCATTGGCGCACTGGTCTCCAATGCCATGTTTACCAACTGTCCAGTCATCGCAGCTGCATTATGACCTGCGCGCGCATTCCTGTCTCTCCCGATTATGACCATACCATGTTTCGGTAGAGAAGTTGAAGTTCCGCATAAAACTTTTATTTATCACGGTCATCTGCTGACAAAGTTGGAGCATAGACACTGATGACCGAGATATTATAGAACTTACTTTTAAAACGGGCATAGGCCATACGGTCGCTTACCGGTTTCCACTCAATCAAAGCGGAATGGG